CGTTTGGGCGGGCTGGTGAATGGAGAGGCAGACACAGCTTATTGGTTGCAAAAACTTTACTTACGCCGCCTGTAGCCGCGACACAGGTGGTCTGGTCGCTTGAACAACTATGTGAGTTGCTCCAGCTGGCAAGGCTGAGGCCAGCTAATCCGTCCACAAATTAAGCCAGCAGGGAAAGGGTACGCGGAGGATTGTGCTCGGTGACAGGGAGAAGAATCGATAGGTGATCAGTCTATCAATCAGCTCAGCCGCAAGTCAGATCTCTTTAGAGGCACTCTGCAGCGTGCTCAAAGTTCTCCAACTTGGGCGGAAGTCGCACAAAATTTTAAACGGCTAGCAAGCCAATTACTAGCCACCACGTAGGAATAATTTAGAACTGGCCAATAGCGGAACACAAATTTGCATTCAAATGGCGGGAACTCTCTTGCACCGAGGTTTTTCTGTTGCAACAAAAACCTTTTGCTGTGCAAGAGGCTCTCATGTGGCAGGAAAATTCCATCGTGCCGAGGCACCAAAATCACTGTCGTGACAGTGTGTAAAGGGATGGCATCAAATCAAAGTCAAGTGAGTCATCTAATTTCTAATCCTTGGAAGAGTTGCTACCCCTAAAAAATTAACCAAAGGAATTTGCAGTTACCCTGTAGGCATAAAGAGGACTAAAAGTAACAGGCAACATCATGTCATCCTTTTCTGTTCTTGGTGGTGAATTCTGAGTTTTCAACCGCTTCTGTTGTCTTTCTACCTAAACAACTTGAAATGTAAGAAGAGCTTTCTCAGCCACCAGCCCAAAGCTGTGGAATTCAATCCCAGAAAAGATCAGGATAAACATAATTTTATTTCAGATAGAAGTTGATGAACAAGTGGTAACAAATGTTACAAGATATGTAAACTTCAAGCAAACCCTTAGCATAACCAGTAGTTTAGAAAACTATACCAAATAATTGCTCCTCAAAAAGAGAAGAGATTCAAACTTAAATAAACCTCTTGCTTAAAAGCAATATAGTATCAAACACTAAATCAAGAACAAGTTGTAATGCAAGTGCAAATGTTGCAAATTTATCTCATTTTGAGCTGTGGAATTGCATTATTAAAAATGACATTTTTTCCTAGGCAATTAAAAATATATTTTCAGATGTTGTTGATGTTATTCCTACAACAATGTAACTTTTAGGCAGAAATCTCCAGAGGCATTTTCTTTGTAAGTCATAATGGTGTGAAAATGAAGGCTTAGAATAGATTTGCTCATCCCAATTTTAACTGTAGGGTTGCTACTGTGACTAATGCCTTCAGCCTGGGCTGTAGTGTTTAATGGTCACCACAGTAACAAATATGCTAATGTATTCACGTGAACTGTCAGAGATAAAGACTCTCAAGCTCCTCCCAGGACATAACTTCATGAGTGAACTTAGAATTGCCTCTAACCTTTAACCATTTGGAGGAGGGTGGAATTGGGTGTAGTAGGGTGGAGTGCTAAACAAAAGCAGATGGGTCCAGACACCAGCTCTCTCTGCTGTTTCCAGTATATCATATGACTGCAGTGGAAACATGAATGCAGTAGAAAATGAAATAGTTTGACACAAGCATGATTTCAATACTTCATGATATTAAGCCCTGAAGTAATGGGAAAAGCTGGGTGGAAATAAGAGGAGCAGCTGGCTTGACACCCTTTGGTCTTCAAATGACTTTTTTCTCAGGCTGTTCATAGATCCATAGAAAACGAGGGTTGGAAGGGACCTCAGGAGGTCACCTAGTCTAGTGAATCCCTGCTAAGAGGAGGACCATCCCCAAGTATCTCATCCCAACCGAGGCTTTGTCTAGCCTGGCCTTAAAAACTTGGAAGGATGGAGAGTCTGCAACCTCTTTGCGTAGACTGCTCCAGTGCTTTACTATCCTCCTAATGAGAAAGTTTTTCCTAATATCTAACCTAAACATTCCTATTCTTTGTAAGTGCCTTTTTACTCACTCAGGTCCAATGACAGACCTTGCTTTAAGAAATCTCTTAACCACAGGGCTCATTTTCTTTACACTTGCCCTATTTAGACACCGCATTTAACAGCTCCCACCCTATTTTTGTACCAATTCTTTAAAAAATCTTCAACCTGACGCTTCAGGGGCATGGTCAGTATCAGCAACATGACCAACAGTCCCAATGAGCGTGCGAAGGGGGGGAAAGAGGTCAGACTATTCTCCACAACCGGTGCCCTCAGAAAGCATTTCACAGAGGAGGAGCTTGGAGGGCAGCGGTGTCTACTGCACTGTTGCCGGGAACGGCTCCATCAGACAAGGTTCTTTGGGTGACCTGATCTTTTTAATTAGACCAACTTAAATTGTTGGGGGAAAAAAATTAGCAAGATTTCGGATTTAAAAACCCTTCGTCAGGCTGGGGAAATCTCTGCAGTTGGGGTGTGCTCGTCCTGGATTTGATTGGGAGGGGTTAAAAGGTTGAGGGCAGTTGGCACCAGCGAGACCACTCTGCCTGCTCCGAGGCGCACGTCTTATTTGAGTGTTTTCTGTCAGGCATGAATGCAACGTGCTGATTTTATCCGCAATTGCCTTGTTTGACTACAATATTTTCCTCCGTTGCTGTTGATAGTCCAGACTTTCTTTCTTGTCCTCCCCGACCCCAGCAGAAACCCAGAGACCGCGGCAGCTTCAGGCTGGAGGCGTTTGCAGAGCCTCTGGCAAACCCCGCCCCGCCCCCAAGGGCAGCTGCTGGCAATCCCGCCCTCTCCCCGCG